GGTTTCACCATGTTGACCAGGATGGTCTCGATCTCTTGACCTCGTGATCCACCCGCCTCGGCCTCCCAAAGTGCTGGGATTACAGGCTTGAGCCACCGCGCCCGGCCTTTGTTATTATTTTTTAAGATGGGGTTTCACCATCATGGCCAGGCTGGTCTTGAACTCCTGACCTCAAGTGATCCACCCACCTCGGCCTCCCAAAGTGCTAGGATAATAGGCGTGAGCCACGGCGCCCAGCCACAATAAAAATATTTTAAGTAATAACATAAGAAACATATGTAGATCTACAATAGCGCTTTGGAAATAAACATTGTCAGTGTAGTTGACACCCCCATGGCACCTCTACTTTATCATTAGCCTTCCTTATGTCTGCTAGGTAATCATTGTTCTAAATTTGATCACCCTTTAATTGTTACAAATACTTCTTTTTTTTTTTTTTTGAGATGGAGTCTCGCTCTTGTTACCCAGGCTGGAGTGCAATGGCGCCATCTCGGCCCACTGCAACCTCCGTCTCCTGGGTTCAGGCAGTTCTCCTGCCTCAGCCTCCTGTCTACTTTAGCTTCTTATAAAAAGTGTGACATTACTTCCAAGGCATCAAAGACTTATTTTTATTTTGTCTTTTATTTTAGTAAACTTTTTTGGTTTTTGGTATCAGGGTCTTATTCTGTCACCCCAGCTGGATAACAGTGTTACGATCACAGCTCACTGCAGCCTGTACCTCCTGGGCCCAAGCTATCTTCCTGCCTCAGCCTCCTGAATAGCTGGGACTACAGGCGAGCTCCACCAAGCAGAGCTAACTTTTTTTTTCTTTGAGATGGAGTCTCATTCTGTCGCCCAGGCTGGAGTGCATTGGCAAGATCTCCGCTCACTGCAACCTCCGCCTCCCAGGTTCAAATGATTATCCTGCTTCAGCCTACCTAGTAGCTGGGACTACAGGCGTATGCCATCATGCCCAGCTGATGTTTTGTATTTTCAGTAGAGACAGGGTTTCACCGTGTTACCCAGGATAGTCTATCTCCTGACCTCATGATCCGCCTGCCTCCGCCTTCCAAATTGCTGGGATTACAGCTGTGAGCCATTGCACCTGGCCACAGAGCTAACTTTGAAGTTTTTTCTGTAGAGACAATGTCTCACTATGTTGTCTTGGTTGGTGTCAAATTCCTGGGCTCAAGCTATTCTCGCACCTTGGCCCTCCAAAGTGCTCAGATTATTGGCATGAACCACTGTGCATGACCGTACTTCTTATTTTTATTTTATTTATTTTATTTTTTTGAGATGGAGTCTTGCTGTGTTGCCTAGGGTGGAGTGCAATGGCGTGATCTCAGCTCACTGTAACCTCTGCCTCCTAGTTTCAAGCGATTCTCCTGCCTTAGCCTCCCAGGTAGCTGGGATTACTGGCATGTGCCAGCACAGTGGCTAATTTTTGTATTTTTAGTAGAGGTGGGGTTTCACCATGTTGGCCAAGCTGGTCTCGAACTCCTGACCTCGGGTGATCCACCCGCCTCGGCCACCTAAAGTTCTGGGATTACAGGCGTGAGCCACTGTGCCTGGCCATACTTATTTTAAATTAAAATTATTTTGGTCATATTATAAGGAAGGAGTATATTTAAAATTTCTCCTGGTCCCAATTTGTTTTGTTTTTTTGAGATAGAGTTTCACCCTTGTTGTCCAGGCTGGAGTGCGGTGGTGTGATCTCAGCTCACTGCAACTTCCAACACCTGGCTTCAAACAGTTCTCCTGCTTCCGCCTCCCCAGTAGCTGGGATTACAGGTACCCGCCACCATGTCCAGCTAATTTTTCTTTGTAGTAGAGACAGCGTTTTACCATGTTGGTCAGGCTGGTCTCGAACCACTGACCTTAAGTGATCTGCTGCCTCTGTCTCCCAAGTGCTGGAATTACAGACATGAGCCACAGCACCTGGCCCCTTTTTTAGAAGTGCTGTATCTGTCAGGTGCGGTGTCTCACGCCTGTAATCTCAGCACTTTTGGGAGGCTGAGGCGGGTGGATCATGAGGTCAGGAGATTGAGATCATCCTGGCCAACATGGTGAAACCCTGTCTCTACTAAAAATACAAAAATTAGCTGGGCGTGGTGATGCATGCCTTCCATGTACTCATGAGGCTGAGTAGGAGAATCGTTGAACCCAGGAGGTGGAGGTTGCCGTGACCCAGATCACGCCACTGCTCTCCAGCCTAGCGACAGAGCGAGACTCTAAAAAAAAAATTTTTTTGACAATAAAATCATTTTTTTTTGTTGTTGTTATTATTATTATTATTATTATTTTTTTTTTTTGAGACGGAGTTTCACTCATGTTACCCAGGCTGGAGTGCAATGGCACGATCTCGGCTCACCGCAACCTCCGCCTCCTGGGTTCAGGCAATTCTCCTGCCTCAGCCTCCTGAGTAGCTGGGATTACAGGCACGCACCACCATGCCCAGCTAATTTTTTGTATTTTTAGTAGAGACGGGGTTTCACCATGTTGACCAGGATGGTCTCGATCTCTTGACCTCGTGATCCACCCGCCTCGGCCTCCCAAAGTGCTGGGATTACAGGCTTGAGCCACCGCGCCCGGCCTTTGTTATTATTTTTTAAGATGGGGTTTCACCATCATGGCCAGGCTGGTCTTGAACTCCTGACCTCAAGTGATCCACCCACCTCGGCCTCCCAAAGTGCTAGGATAATAGGCGTGAGCCACGGCGCCCAGCCACAATAAAAATATTTTAAGTAATAACATAAGAAACATATGTAGATCTACAATAGCGCTTTGGAAATAAACATTGTCAGTGTAGTTGACACCCCCATGGCACCTCTACTTTATCATTAGCCTTCCTTATGTCTGCTAGGTAATCATTGTTCTAAATTTGATCACCCTTTAATTGTTACAAATACTTCTTTTTTTTTTTTTTTTTTTTGAGATGGGGTTTCACCATGTTGGCCAGGTTGGTCTCGCACTGCTGACCTCAGGTGATCTGCCCGCCTCGGCCTCCCAAAGTGCTGGGATTACAAGCGTGAGCCACCGTACCCGGCCATTACAAACATTTTTGAATCAAATTAAATAGGACTTAACCTTTGTTTCTGGTTCCAGCAAGAGGAAGTTTTTTTTTTTTTTTCCCCCACCCCCGGCCGCCGCGTCTTCCCTGCAGATCGGGAGGAGAAGAGGTAGCCAGGTGGAAGTTTTAATAGAATTCTTTTTTTAAAGCTTCCTGTTACTCTCCTATCCATATTTTGTATCTTCTGTTCTCTTGATGAATTGACACTTTTATTGGTATGAGCTGTTCTTTGTGTTGTTAGAGTCGTGCATTTTACTTTTTACATATGTCATAAACTCCAGAATTCATTACCATAATTTTTGTTCAAACAAGCAATTATCTTTTTTGTTAATTTGTTTTTTTGAGATGGAGTTTTACTGTATCACCCAGGCTGGAGTGCAGTGGCGGGATCTTGGCTCGCTGCAACCTCTGCCTCCTGGGTTCAAGCAATTCTCCTGCTTCAGCCTCCTGAGTAGCTGGGATTACAGGCCCAGGACACCATGCCTGCCTAACTTTTGTTATTTTTAGTAGAGACAGGGTTTTACCATGTTGCCCAAATTCCTGACCACAGGTGATCCACCTGCCTTGGCCTCCCAAAGTGCGGGGATTACAGGTGTGAGCCACTGTGCCTGGCCAGAATTCTTAACAAAATGTTAGTCCATTTATATATCTGCTTATTATAAAATACTTTTGGGATATATCTTTTGGATGTTAATAAGTACCTACAATTTATCCTTCCAGATAGATTGTCTTCAGTACAAACGTGGACATTGCATATATTTCTGTTGTTAATATTTTAGATTGCTATAGTTTAATATAACTTGCTGTAGTTACAAATCAAATTTGCTATAATTTGTAGTTGTTTCTACGGTAGGTTTTATATTACATGAGGTGTGTTTATATTATTTGGATATATGATGTATTTTTAGTAGGTTTAACTGTTGTATAGAAATTACTATTCATGTAATCCTTCAAGCAAAATTATCCCGAGTGATGGCACAATTATCTTTGTCTGTAATTATCACAGATTTAGATAATTTTCTCTTTTTTAACAGCATTTTTCTTCAAAAACAGGAGTATTTTCTGCATTGTTTGCTGTTCCCCGAAAAGAAGGATTCCTTGGGTTGTATAAAGGAAATGGTGCAATGATGATTCGAATCTTTCCCTATGGCGCAATCCAGTTTATGGCATTTGAGCATTATAAAACGGTAAACTTTGATCTTTTCTCTTTTGCATTCTTGAATATTATGCATGCTTGACCAGGCATTTGCTTTGGACATTTAAAAATACATAAAAGTTTCATAGTTTTAAAAAGTTAAATTTTTTTTTTTAAATTCTTGAGACCGAATCTCGCTGCCCAGGCTGGAGTGCAATGGCATGATCTTGGCTCACTGCAACCTGTGCCTCCTGAGTTCAAGTGATTCTCCTGCCTCAGCCTCCTGAGTGACTGGTATTATAGGCCTGTGCCACCATGCCTGACGAATTTTGTATTTTTAGTAGAGATGGGGTTTTGCCATCTTGGCCAGGCTGGTCTTGAACTCCTAGCCTCAAGTGATCCTGTTCTTTCAAAGTGTTGTGATTACAGGCGTGAGCCATGGTACCAGGCCAAAAAGTTAGTTTTAATAAATGGATACAGTAATGCTTTCTTAAAGGAATAAGACTTGTGATAGCTTAAGATTTTAAATATAACTTGTCTTTGGAGTTACTAATTCCAGAATTGTTAGTAATTTATGAGTAAATTATTTATTTACTGAGATGGAATTTCACTCTTGTTGCCCAGGCTGAACTGCAATGGCATGATCTTAGCTCACTGCAGCCTCTGCCTCCCAGGTTCTTACAAGCATGCACCACCATGCCCGGCTAATTTTGTATTTTTAGTAGAGGCAGAGTCATCATCTTGGTCAGGCTGGTCTGGAACTCCTGACCTTAGGTGATCCACCTGCCCTGGCCTCCCAAAATGCTGCGATTACCAGTGTGAGCCACCTCGCCCAGCTGAATAAATCCTTTTTTATTTTTTATTATTATTATTTTAAATAGGGGGTTTCACCATGATGGCCAGGCTGGTCTTGAATTCCTGACCTCAGGTGATCCACCCACCTTGGCCTCCCAAAGTGCTAGGATTACAGGCGTGAGCCACCATGCCCAGCCCCAGCTGAGTAAATTCTTTATGTTCATTCTTTTTTTGCAGTGGCGCAATCTCAGCTCACTGCAGCCTCAACCTCATGGGCTCAAAAAATTGTCCCACTTCAGCCTCCTGAGTAATTGGCACTAGCAGCACTAGCGGTAGTGCCACTACCCCAGGCTAATTTTTTTTTCTTTTTCAGTGGTGGAGTGGAGGCCTGGCTATTTAAAAAAAAATTTTTTTTTGTAGACATGGGGTCTCACTGTGTTACCTATCAATCTCCTGGGCTCAAGTCATCCTTGGGCCTTAGCCTTTTTTTTTTCTTTTCGAGCAGGAGTCTCCCTCTGTTGCTTAGGCTGGAGTGCAGTGGTGGGATCTCGGCTCACTGCAACCTCCATCTCCCAGGTTCAGGCAATTCTCCTGCCTCAGCCTCCTGAGTAGCTGGGATTATGGGCGTGTGCTACCATGCCCAGCTAATTTTTGTATTTCTTTTTTTTTTTTTTTGAGACGGAGTTTCGCTCTTGTTACCCAGGCTGGAGTGCAATGGCATGATCTCGGCTCACCGCAACCTCCGCCTCCTGGGTTCAGGCAATTCTCCTGCCTCAGCCTCCTGAGTAGCTGGGACTACAGGCACGTGCCACCATGCCCAGCTAATGTTTTGTAGTTGTAGTAGAGATGGGGTTTCACCATGTTGACCAGGATGGTCTCGATCTCTTGACCTCGTGATCCACCCGCCTTGGCCTCCCAAAGTGCTGGGATTACAGGCTTGAGCCACCGCGCCCGGCCTAATTTTTGTATTTCTTGTAGAGATGGGGTTTCACCATATTGGTCAGGCTGCTTTTGAACTGCCAACCTTGTCATCTGCCCATCTCGGCCTCCCAGAGTGCTGGGACTACAGGCGTGAGCCACTGCACCCACCTGGGCCTCAGCCTTTACTGTGTTGTTACTCAATTGTAGGAGAGGAACACTGTGGCTTTGGATTTTCTTATTAAATAAAACAGCAAAACTGTATTGTGAAAATCTGTTTTGGAATAATGCAGTAAGTTGTTAGCTTTTTGTAGCCTACTCATTCATTAAGCTTCTCTTGTCAGACTGAGTGAATGTTTATCCTGTCCAACATTATCTCAACACAGAAAGGAGAGTTTCAGTAGGTATCTTAGTATGAAGAATAAGCAGCAGAGATGGGAACAACATTCTAAGCTAGTCAGCCAGAGAGAATTGATGCCATTTGTATATCAAGACTTCATTGGCTCTAGTAGCATTAAAAAAAAAAAAATATGCCGGGGGTGGTGGCTCATGCCTGTAATCCTGGCACTTTGGGAGGCTGAGGCGGGTGGATCTCCTCTGGTCAGGAATTTCAGACCAGCCTGAAAACCTTGTCTACTAAAAAATAAAAAATTAGCTGGGCATAGTAGCTTGCACCTGTAGTTCCAGCTACTTGGGAGGTTGAGGCAGAAGAATGGCTTGGACCCAGGAGGCAGAGGTTGCAGTAAGCCAAGATTTTGCCACTGCACTTCAGCCTGGACAACAGAATGAGACTCCATCTCAAAAACAAACCCCCAAAAACAAAAAAAACCTGGCATTTTATTCATATTCCCCAGTCACTTGTTAGTGCTTGTGGTCCTTAATACAAAGTATCATATATTTAGCAATTCAAAGCTAGCTTGCTTCTGCAGAAGTGCAAAATATTAAAGCAGAGACTATAGAGGAAATAACGCTTTGTGCTATGATATAACACTGCCAGGCCGGGCGCGGTGGCTCACGCCTGTAATCCCAGCACTTTGGGAGGCCGAGGCGGGTGGATCACGAGGTCAAGAGATCGAGACCATCCTGGTCAACATGGTGAAACCCCATCTCT